GGATGCTTCAGCATCACTCCCTAATCACTGTGGAAGGTCACCGACCAAGAGGAATGGTCACCGACCATGGTAAAGTGGTCATCGACCATCTATGATGCCCTCGGCCATCCATTATTGGTCGATCGGCACTGAAAATGGTTGGTCGACCATATCTTCCTGCAGAATCCTGTTTTGACAGCACAGAGGGCAAAACAAGGCATGTCAATGCATTTCACCCAAATGTGTGCACCAATACACCCCTTTTTGGAGCATTTCGAGATTTCTTCATCATCTCCTTTGAGTTTCATCTCTTGAGGTAGGGATTCCTACTCATCTTTATGAGCTTTAACATAGATGTTGAGCTTTTTGTATAAATGGTTTGGTTTGGGAAGTTAGGGTTTGAGATGTATAATGTTGAAAAAAGGGGTTTTGTTCATTTGACTCATACATATGTGTTTTGGGTCTGAAATAGAATTTATTGATGTTGTTGATAATATTTGGACCTTTGGGTCAATATTGAGAAAAATGGGAAAAATGCCATGTTTGGGTATATTTGGGTCATTAGTGTAATTAATGACATTTATTATGAAAATATGGAATTGAGTTGGAAATAATGTAATTGGTTCATTATGAGATAGAATGGTGGAGTTGAAATTATTAATCTCTCACCTTGGAAATTGTTGATAATTTATCTGTTGGATGTAATTATTATCTGTTTAGAAATAATTGCTTTGGGCTATCGGTAGAGGATTGTCTTGATTGTTGTAGACAACACATGATGATTAGGCGAGCTAAAACTAATCAATTGAATATGTCATCGAATATGGCAATGGGAACAATACATCGAATTTATGTATTGATTGATTATGTATATGATATGTGTTTATAAACATTGTGTTGTGTGGGAGAAGATAGGGGATGTACTCCACGGTTTAGGAGAAGATGGGGGATGGACTCCAAAATCGGATTTTATTTGGGAGGAGATAGGGGGTGGACTCCATTGATACAACAATTATGTGTATCTATTGAAGTGTTGATACAGCAATTATGTGTATCCATTGAAGTATTAATACAGCAAATCTGTGTATCATCTATGAAGTATGGAAGTGTTTTATTTGAGATTGCTACAACAATTATGTATATCCATTGTGACATATGAAGTGTTTAATATGAGTTGTTATCTCAATTAAAATGGAAGTACGGTTGATATGAGATGTAGTCTCATTTAAATAGTTTGGCCAGGTTCTGAGCCATAGTTATGAGTTGAGAATTGGATAAGAAATGGAAAATGAAATGAAACATGGACACATTTGTCATGTAATTGAAATGGGCTATGAATTGATTTATGTGAGTTAAACATTTATCAAATGCTAATGTTTTAGTTATTGCTCATATTATGTTTATCATATCTCTACTGGGCGTTGGCTCACCTTATATGGGACATCATTTTCAAGTTCAGGTGTTATGCCACCTCCGAGATCTTAGCTTGGATGGTTGTGGGAGTTGAAGACTCTTTTGTTTATTTTTGTTGTATTACATGTACATCAAGCCAAGGGCTTATTTTATGTAGAGTTAGTACTCTCCTTTTGTAACCAAGTGTTGACTTGGAAAGTTGTAAGCCCGTAGGGCATTTACTTTTGTTGTCAACATGTAATACATTTGTAAGAAATACTCTGATGAAATGTAATATGCTTTATTCTCTTATGTCTAAGCATGTCAATACTGTATGTTTTATGGGTTTATTTTGAGGGCGTTACAAAATCGCATCATCTAAGTGAGAAGATCGAATCCATCAAAAAAAGAAGAAGAAGAAAGTAACAAGATCTAACACATTAGCTAGTATCAACTAAGAAATAAACAAGAATATAGCAAAGTAATAATAATGGACATTAGAGATCTCCATTAAGTAAAGCATTCACAAATTATTCATTCTCATCATCTTCCAAGGTGAAGAAGCAAGTAGTAACCTCATGATCACGTGCTATAGCAAGCATGGCTCCGTAGCGCTCAACCCTCCATAGATTGGAAAGCTTTCAAAGCTCCTCGTTGATTTTGTCCCTCTTCAAAGCTATATCCAAATCCACATAGTGCTCGACTGAATTTATCTGTTGCTTCTTCAATCTTGGTGCTAATAATCATAGCTGCTTCACGAAAGGCATCCGAACTTTCACTACTATTCTTCTTCTTCTTTCCTTTATTACTGTTTCCTTCATCGTTGATGGAAGCATTTGACAATGTATCAATTTTTTCAACACTCGAATTTTGCGTGTCAATGCTCTCATTTCTGCTCACTTCCTCCAAGACATCATCAGCAGTAACCGCATCTTTTCCCGTAGCACGATCTTTCTCGAAGATGATGCACAACATGTGTAATACCCCGAAAATTGGACATGATATATCTATTTATGCAACAAAACCCACCTGATAGACAAACACATATATATAGCTAACTAATCCATACTCCTATTTCCATTAAATCCCAAATGCCAAATACATATTGTTCACATCTCAATGCCCCAGTTCTAATCCCAAACGTGCATTTTATAACAAGTATGAAATGGAAGCCAAACAAATAATAAGTACCCTGCAGGCTTACAAATTTATCCAAGAACATTCTTGGTTACACAAAATGGAGTTTCAACTCAACACAATTACAGCCATTGGCTTACAAAATAGAGTCACGCAAAATGAGAGCATTGTACTCCCAACACACATACTTCCACGCCCCTAGTTTGGTGGAATCATCACATCTTTTCCTGCACAAGAATCTCGTAGGGTGAGCATAAAGCCCAGTAGAAGATTCTTAACAAAGTATATACATTTTATACAAGTCTCAAGAGATGAAATGCACATGCCATGCTATGCCCTTTTTGAAGATAAATTACATTTTCATCTTTTGAAAATCATCATGCTCAATGATGTCATGCAATTTCAATTGTTCAAAACTTAACAATTTATTTCAAGGGCAGTAAATACGTCTCTGGTAATCCCTAGGTTGGTGTCTGCAAATAGATTATAGGAGTACTACCAAATTGTCATTTTTATTGGTATTAACCGGAAGGCTCGACACCTATCTGCACGGATTTTCGGTCTTTCACCCTGGACCCGCAGGCTAACTTATTCAATATCATCTACATCACCTATCAAGATTTACCAACATATTTACCCCAAAACCATTTCATGAAAACTTATTGTAGACACCCCATTTTTGACCGTCCTCAAGACTTGAAAGCAGTCCATGTTTGGCACTTCTTTCAAAAAAATCTATTTTCTCAAAACGATTTGCCAGATTTGGACTCTTTGGTTCAGATTAAGAACCGTGACACAAATTGAGTCCGAACTGTAGTGAGGCCCACAGGCGCGTCTACACTTATTTATCAACATTCTTTTCTCAATTTAAGTTTTCAAATCAACCTTCAAAGTCTAATGTAATAAAATGAAATGATATGCCAATTTCATAAGATGAACATAAATACTTTTATTCTAATTCAACATCCAAGGAATAACACAATTTCCTCTTCACAAGTATTCTCAACAATTTAGTCATTTCAAGATTATATCAACATTTTGAATAACCATTTCTAAAATAAACAGCAATTCTCATAATCCACAAAATTAATCATTTACACAATTATAAATAAGAAATTTTCTAAATATCATTTATTTTGGCACACAAAAATAAATAATACAATATTACCCATGGATTTTCAATCTTTTTTAAAATCCCCAATTTCTAGGTTTTCTTCCCAAACTACACAATTCAAATCTTTTGAAAGAAAACTCTCGAAAATCATTTTTTCTTCAATCAACAAAGATAAAAACTCATAAGATTATTTTAAAAGAACAAGAGACAAACCTACTTTCAAAATCGCTCAACTTCTTAAATCAAAATAAATTTTCAGAAGCTATCAAAGGATGATTTTGAAAATTATCTAGATCTTGCAAAAACATATATATAACTCAAAGAAAATCCCTCCCTTAAGTTTTGAAGAAGAAATGAGATGAAACCCCCAAAATCAACGGTGTCAAAACTCGATCTTTACCGCACAGAATGAAGCCCTCGAGGTGATGACCAACTTTGGTGAAGAATTTAGGCTTAAGTCCCAATGGATTTGGAGAAATCAAAGAGAGAAGGTGACTTTTAGAGAGAGAAGCTCTAGATCAGGATTTTGGAGAGTTTTAGAGAGAGAGGGGGCTGCAAGAAGTGATATGAAACCCTAATTTTACGGACTGATATAACAAGGTCCGCTCGCGCAGGGAAAGCCCCGCTCGAGCGTCAAATACACTTTCCCGTAAGCAATTTCGAATGCATTTTGCATTTTTGCTTTCGGCGAGCTGACCGGGCAGCTTGACCCCCGTAAGTTGACCGGGTCAAAATCGATCCTTGACCTGCCCAATCGAAATGGCAAAACATGAAAGAAGGATCGAAACTGAGATCACTACAACATGTCACAATGTGGGAAACTCCTATTTTTCCTGTGAGCAGCACGCTTGTGGCTCTGTAGCAATATTTAATTTTAATAACAAGGCATCACAAAGCATAGATAATTGATTTATACTAAATTTATTCTAGTGTGGTCATGTGAATAATACATGAATGATAAAACATAATAATTGACTTATCAATGATCACAAAATTTTATTTTAAATTCTTTTAATTTTAGTAAAAATCAAGCAATGAGATAATAGAAACAATTCTTAGAGAAATTTACAAGAACTGAAGTTACACAATTCACTAGCTTAACACTGATGTAAAATAGAAACAATTCTTAGAGAAATTGACTCAATTCACAACAACGATCTTGAACGAATCATGCTATCAAAAAAGTTTAAAATACAAACACAAACATCATTATTAGACAAACAATAATAGCTCCAGCAACAAACACACCAATGATTCTTTACAAAAATTTCTAAATGTTTTTGTATCACTCTAGACACAATGCAGTGTTGCTATACCGTTGCACACACCGCTTTTTGTCCCACAAAAGCACACACAAGCCTCATCACATCTGTATATATATAAATACACGAGTATGGATAAACCATCAAGCCTTTTAGACTTCCCAAGAAATCTACCAACCACCCAATAATAATAATATTAAATTCATTTGGTGCATTCTCGAACCCAGCAGACCACCACTTCCAATGAGCACAAATAGTGTGCTAATTATAGATAATAAAGATCTATCTAGAAACCACTGTGTACCTCAATAACATGGACAGCCGTATGGCTCCCAGTAAAAGAAGTTGAAGTAGTGATCAGGTGAGAAAGGAGAACAAAAGAAAGATGCAGGACAATTATCTAAATGTTTCTTAATCTGTCCTTGATCAGAGTGAATTTAAAAACAGGTCAGATCTTCAAAGTCTTTACTCATAACCTCAGGTATGCCTACAGTCCTATCTGGTTATAAATCATTAAATACACCATGCTTTGATTGTTTATAGATTAAATTTTATTGGGTTTGAAAAGAATATACAGAACATGCATGTTAATATGGTTGTTGTATTCATATGTGTAGCTGGCTCTCTTAAAAAATATGCATTTTGTATGAAATTCAAGAACTAGCATTGCTAACAGCAACTTTAATATGAGTTCAACAATCAATGCAAAGGTTGACTTGACATGGATAGAAAGAAACACATTATGATCAATGATAATGACACTATTTAAATCAGGTTCATAGATAACAATGACCTCAATAACTCTGCAATGCAGCAACAAATGACTAGTGAAAATAAATGGAAGGCACCACAGATAGGAAGAAAGAAATGAAGAGAATTCAAGGTAACATAATACCTGCACATAGCCATCCCAAACTTGTTTTTCAGCAACCACCATATTTGTGTTGGAATCCCATCCAAATCCGCTGCAGTCCACTCTGTTAACCATATCAAACACAGTTCCAGTGTCCCTTTTCAATGTCTTGACCCTAGATTCTATGTGTGGCTTAGCCTTAATTCCACACCCCGGAAACTTCTCATGCAACACTCCTTCAAGCACCCCAAGAAAGCCTGACTTGAAATCATTGTCAGCCTTGTGATTTCCTGTATTGACCATGTCAAAAAGAGTATAAACCAATTCTCTATCCTCTTCATCTGTCCACATTCTCTTGTTCTTCCCTGGCCCTTTTTCATCCATATCGATGGCTAAATATATATGATAACCACCACAACCAACAACCCAATAATGTGACAATAATAAGCAGCCATAATAAACAAAGCCAATATAATAAATAAAGAAATTATACTCAATAATAATAATCCAGCACAATTATATCGAGTTGAAAGATCAAATTCAAATGACAAGTGAAAGTTTAAAGTTCAATAATAATCCAGCACATCATGCCTTTCCATTTCTTAAAACCCTTTTATGTTGCATAAAGACTTCAAGTACTAATACCAAATGGGTGGTCCAAAAATATAAATAAGCCCAAATCAGACTATTCAGAAACAAACACACCATCAAATATACACACATTTCCAGATTATATTTTACTTCGACTATGGCTCAAAGTGAACTCCAGACCACAAACAAGAATTTGAATAAATAAGCACAAAAATTTGGCAACAAATACAAGAGATCCATGAAAACAGAGTATATATAGCAACTAAACAGCTTCAAATACAAATATTATTAGCAAATCGAACTGTTACTTTCGCTTGTCATTTGCACTTGTTTTCAAAACCATCTAAAAATCAAAGCATGTTTCCAAATAAGGGAATTGCCTCCATATATTTCATAAACACCTAACAAAATTGAATTCAAAGCATCAAAACTACCATAAAGAAACAGTCCTGATTGAAACCCCCCAAAAAAATGTTTCCAAATGTTAAGGATCCAAAACCAACAGATATTAGTTGCAAATCATATAACACCAATTGAAAAAAAATAATAAAAAAGTGCTTAACACATGAAAAAGACAACCATAAAAAATTGCATTAATAAAATGTCCTAATGTAAATTAGAAGCAAAGTAAGCCCAAAACATTGTAAAATTGAAAAACAAAATCTCAAATCAACAAATCAGAAAAGAAAACAATTCTATATAAATGAAACTATATTTATGTTCATATATACACATGTAGAGAGAGTAGGATACCTCAATTTTCTTCAATTTCAACTAGGAACCAAGAATCTGTTACAAAATAGAAGAAATTAATAAAGAAGACAAAATCAAAACCCCTAGATCTAAACAATAGCTCTTGAATTCAAATCAAATCCTAAATCTAAATTCATCGCATTAAAACTGATCGAAAATCAAACCCTAGATTTACCAGATTGATTATAAGCAATGAGAGAGAGACAGAGAGAAAGAAAGAGAGAAAAAAAAAAGAAATCTTGCAAAGAAATCTAATAATCAACCAAGGAATCTTTGTATTTGACTTATGAAAATTAATGGAAAAAAAATCGATCTAATATTTTGTCACTCCCATGCGTAGTTGTCAAATCGGAATTCAAATCGTGAATCGAAAATATATCTACACACTTAGATATTAAATATATCTAATAAATATGAAATATTTAGATTTAAATCAATGAAAGTATTGTTTTAAATGATGATCATGTGATTTGAGTAAGAAGTTAACATGAGTTCTCATGTTTACCACTTCACATTTTCCCTTTAAGAAGCTATTTCTTATCAACCATTCTTAGTAAAGAAAACAAACAAACAAACTTTCAACTTCCAAGTAACAATATCTCAACAACAATGTTTTTAACTTTTTACAAGGTTAAAAAACCAAAATCTTCAAATTTTTTCAAAAATTTCATTTGAGCCTTCAAAAGATTCATTTTGTAAATGCAAGTACTTAAATAAAATTGAATATGTACGCCTAGAATATTGTAGAGAGAGAATGTTCATTTTTTTTTCACTTAAGGTTTGAGTATTTGAGAGTAAATAGGGAAGGAGAAAGTCAAAACATGGCATACATAATCCTAAAGACCTTAAAAAGGTTGTGTGTTAGAAATAGGTATTGAAGTTTTGGAAAAACATAATTTTTCTTCAACTTTGGTCTAATTTTTAGGTGGGACCCATGTGCCAAAATTGACGGGTCTAAGTGGTAACGCGTTCTATGCTGCATTGTAATTCACGTAGTATATTTGGTTGCTCAAAACCATTATCGGGTGAATGGGAAATTGAAGTCAAAGTAAGCTCTATGGAAATGGAGTTTTGGTGGAAATTTCTTAAAGGTGTGGTTTAAGGCTTGTCCCACATTGATTTGGTGGGCATACTTTGAGTGGGTTTATAAGGCTTGAGTTTGGAACATGGGGTAGGCCCCAAGGGGTGCCCAAGTTTTGTAGAGGGGGAGGTTATGGGCAAAGTGGGCTAGACCCATTGCATCCAAAATAAACACACAAGCATGCACCGCCGTCCATCCGGTCGGGCGAGCGGGCTGGGCTTGGGCGTGGGTGTGTGGTTGGGTTGGGCTTGTTCGACTCAATACCTATCTTTTTGGGCCAAAAACATTTGAATTTTATTTTCTTAAAATTAAATTCTAATTTTTTGGAATTTGAAATTCGAAAATTGAATTCAAAATGGGCTCCGATTTTTTCCCCACCCGCACAGATTCAAATCTGTTCAATACGGTTTTTATCTGTTCAAAATTTGAACCCAACAGATTTGTATCTGTTCATTCAAACCAAACAGGTAACATGCCTGTTCAAACAAGTTTGCACCTGTTTAATTCAAACCTAACAGCCACAAGTTCTCCTATAAGTAGACTAGTCCTTTATTTGGATTTTCACTCCAGTTTTCATTCTTTTCTGCTGCCATTCATCTATGCATCTTACTGCATTAATTACATTAATTTTTTGTGAGAAAGAGTATAATTAATTTTCTGTGAGAAAGAGTATATACACAAAGTGTGTTCGTTGTGTGAATAGTGTGTAGTGCTACTACTATTCAATGTTGATCATTTTATCACAATCTGAAAGCACCATGGAGAGAACGAATCTGTCTTAAGGATACAGTGTACTGGAATTGATCAGAAAATTTGCACAACAAATTAATTTGGTAAGTAATTAATTTACTTTTCTGTTTTATTATTTTTTTTTGTTTCAGATTTTGATTTTGTTTTTTGTAACAAAATAAAAATCTGTTTTATTTATTTTATTTTATTTTCTGGTTTGATTTTTGTAATCAAACAAACTCTTTCCTTTCATTTATTTCTTCTGCATTCCGTTTGTTGGTAAGTACACAAACATAATTTTTTTTTTAAAATACAGTGAAGATTGTCCAACAATCTTAAGACATTATTTTTTGGGGTCATCATTGTATTTATTTTTCTGTGCTTTTACAAAGTGATATTCTGGTTGGAAAATACAAATAGTAGTAATATACTGTTTATTTTCCTTGACAACTAGTAGTAATATACTGGTGTCATTAACAACTGTAGAATATTAATTTGTATTACAAAAAAATTATTGTGGTATTTTATTTTTCTAGTTTTAGTAACAAGGAAAATAAAATTATTTTGTGTCATAATTTATTTTCTAGTTTTAGTAGCTAGAAAATTAATTTGTGTTTTGATTTTTTCTGATTTTTGTAATCATGTATTATGGCTGCTGAAAGTATTACTTCAAATCCGATCGTTATGATGACTTCGGTCCCTATCCAGAACCATGTTCAAATTTCTAAAAATCATGGAGAAAAATCGAAAAAATTTAATGGCACTGAGTTTAAGAGATGGCAGCAGAAAATGTTGTTTTATCTTACAACTCTAAATTTGGCCCAGTTTCTCCGTGAAGATGCTCTACTTAGAGAGGATGAAAGTGATCGGCAAGTTGTTGCCGTTATAGACGCTTGGAAACATTCCAATTTTCTGTGCAGAAACTACATTCTCAATGACCTTGACAACATGTTGTGTAATGTTTACAGCCCTCTGAAAACAACAAAAGAATTATGGGATTCTTTGGAGAAAAAATACAAGACAGAGGATGCCGGCAAAAAGAAATTTGTTGTTAGTAAATTTCTAGATTTCGTTATGGTAGACTCCCAAACGATAATTTCTCAAGTTCAAAATTTTCAATTAATTTTGCATGATATTCATTCTGAAGGTATGTCTCTTAACGAGTCTTTCCAAGTCACTGCTTTAGTGGAAAAGTTACCACCGGCTTGGAAAGATTTCAAAAATTATTTAAAACATAAACGCAAGGAAATGACCATGGATGAATTGATTGTAAGACTAAGAATTGAGGAAAATAACCGAAAGGCTGAAAAAAGGAATGGTAAAAATCCCATTGAGTCCAAGCCTAATGTGGTTGAACAAGTACACAAACCATATAACAAAAAGTGGAAGTTTACTGGAGATGGTCTTAAACAAGGCGACAACAATGGCAATAAAAAGTTCAAAGGTAAATGCTATAATTGTGGCAAGACCGGACATCGAGCTTCTGATTGTCGCTGCCCTAAGAAGGATTGCGGAAGTACAAGCAAGAAGGCTACCAATCAAGCCAATATGACAAAACTTGATTACATCTCTGACGGGGTGAATGACATCAATCTCTCTGCTGTGGTGTCTGAGGCTAATTTGATTAGAAATCCCAAGGAATGGGGGGTTGACACTGGGGCAACTCATCACATTTGTGTGGATAAGAAGATGTTCACTACTTACAATGAGGCTACAAATGGTGAACAACTTTTCATGGGAAATTCTTTTACTTCTACTGTGGCTGGACAAGGAAAGGTGATCTTGAAGATGACATCAGGGAAGAAACTTACCCTTAACAACGTACTACATGTACCAGATATTCAAAAGAATTTAGTTTCCGGTTCTTTGTTAAGTAAAAATGGTTTTAGGCTTGTATTTGAGTCTGATAAATTTGTATTAACAAAGAGTCGTATTTATGTTAGTAAGGGATACATGAGTCTCTTCAAGTTGAATGTAATGACGGTTGTACCAAAACTTGCTATTAATAAGAATAACACATCTTTTGCTTATATTCTTGAGTCGAATTTATGGCATGGTAGATTAGGACATGTAAATTTTGATGCTTTGTGTAGATTAATTGGTTTGGATTATATACCAAAGTTTGAAATTGATCCTAATCACAAATGTTAGATTTGTGTAGAAGCGAAACTAACAAAGGCTCCATTTAAATTGGTTGAAAGAAAAACCGAACCTCTAGAAGTAATTCATATTAATG